TTTGGATACGATTGTCTGAAAATATTATAGTCTATAATATTAGCGCAATAACTACGGACCAATAATAGAAATGTTTTAAAGTGCGAGCTTAAGAAGCCTTAGTCTAAGAGATGCTAAATTCTGAAAAGAAATTAATAAACGAAAAAACTCGCATTTTTTATGAAAATGAGTGTTTTATATAAGTGCTAATAAAAACTATACAGATCGTTATGTAAATTGTCAAGATGGTGTTCATGAAATAAGCAGAAGAACGAAAGACCCACAAAGGGAAATGTCTAAAATTGTGAAAACTGATGATGAAGAAATGTCTGCTAATAAGGAAATGAAATACGAGTGCTTTCCTTAGAAATACAAAAAATTTACCACAAAATATAAAATTGGCATAAATTTGAAATAAAGTGACAAGGTTACCGTTAAGAAATAAAGAGAATAATGAACAAAAGAAAGGATAGAAAATAAAGATAGTTGGTGTAGATATAACACCAAAAAGTAGCGTTAGCACAAGGTAAAACTCTAGGATCGATTATTCCATTATGTGCATAGATATCAAGAGGCTCAAAAATGTATAATAAAGGCTTAAAGCGTAAAAAGATTGGTAAAAAAGCATTATATAAGAAAGACAGGCAAAGTCATAAATAAATAGTAGTAAAAATAGGGGTAGTACACAGGCACCAGCTTGATGTCCATATGAGTCAATTCGGCTACATTCGAAAACGCAATCGGGATCATTCAGTTGTGGGTAGATTCGCGCACGATGCTGCAAACCTATTTTGCAGCAACATTGAGATCCCGAATCGCCCAGCCGAGCGGAGGTCATTTGTGGCGAAGAACAACGCGATGATCTGATTCCAAGCTGACAATAAACAGACAAATAAGAGAATTTTGATCGGCTAGTCAATCTACGAAAGCTAAGACTGTGATTATGACGATGCGAATGATCAAACGAGCTGGCGATTTCAGGGAGTATGAACGAGGTAGATTCTGTGACCCTTAATTTTGCTCGCCCTACTTGGCCTGCTTTTCCGTCAAACTTGGCTGTTCTTAAAGTCATTCCATCAGCGACTATAGTGGTTTGGGCAGTTTCCGCCTTTTCTGGGGCACTTGAACTTAGCCTACTGGAGCAACCAGTCAAAAATGTGGCGAGCCATGCGTCTCAATCGCATGAACAGCCTCGCATTCAATAAGAATAACATCTAAGGCGGCCAAGGCGGATGCCAGAGCCATAGTCGCCTCAAGAGCAAGGCCCGTCAGTAGGCTACGCAAATAGTCGTGGACAAGGGCAGCTCGATCAGGCTGCCAGCAGTCGTGCTGGAAGATGAGTGAGACTGGCTTGTGCTTATAGTCCCCGATGAATCAAAAAAGAAAGGAATCAACCAGCCTAACATCGGTCTCTTGCAACTCCTGGATGTGAAGTTTAACAAGAAAGCTTATCTATTTTTAAAAAGAATTTAGTTGAGAATAAATGTAATAAATAAAGTAATGCACAATTAACACGGTAAAATCATTATTGAAGTCAAAGGATTGGGACATGTTTTCGCAATGGCTTTGGCAGAACAAAGACATGTATTGAAGTGGGTTGACCTCGTTATTGCAACTTAGTCTTGTGTTCAGGGAGACTATGTAGACCGCACCGAGTCCAAAATCGTCTGTCATAGTAGTTGTCTTGATTCCCAGCATCTGACAGTGGAGTGAAACATTCTTAAACGTTTCGCCGGCATCGTAGTCGGCATCATCAGTGAGCCTTGTCATTCTCCGGACCAAGTTACGAACTCGTCAAAGAGACAAATGAAGTCAATCCATCGACAAGTGTTCTGCCGACTACGATGCCGGCGAAACGTTTAAGAATATATT